TTATTCGGGACTGTATATTTATTTGGACCCTGGTAGCATTCCTTTTTTCGTAAAACCGCGCGATGGACACAACTGTAATAAGTGTGCCGTGAGTGTGATGTATGTTCTCCCAACCCCACTTCTTTCTTCCCTTTTATTTATCTTGCTTATGCATGGTTAGATTAGGGCATATTTCAATTAGCATCAGTATGACAGCATGTTTGCATCATTCATTGCTGTATTGGCATGCACCTGGGCTTAGCTGCATCATACTAACTGCATTGTATTTTAATTCCAATTGAATACATGATAGTTAGTAGCATTCATAATGCACATCTTAGTAATACCGAGCCTGCCTATTAGTTGCATTTTTGTATGTGTTGCATTAGCATTTTTTACTGTATACTTAGGATCCATGCATGGAATTTCATTAGCTTTTTTTTGGCTTGGAAGTACTCGGTAAGCTTTATGCTTTAGCATCCGTGCATGGTGTGGGAATGCCTATGATAAGCATGCTTACATTAGAGACTAATTGCTTATGTGATATAACTGCCCTGAACGATGCCTGTGGGTGAAGTTGGTGTTACTTAAATTGGAATAAATCATCCAAATGTTTAACTTCCTGCACGAGTAGCAAACCATATTTCAACATAATAAACATAAATGTTTTGTTCCAATTCGGGGACCCAGTCTATACTTATATGTTGTGTGCATCACAAGTAACCTAGGCTAATAACCGGAATAAGAACACACAAAGTTTTTCACAAAATAGATATCATGTAGTAGAGCGAGTCTCTTGACGGGCGAGGCGGGGTGTTTCCGAAGTGACCTTCCCCAATCGTCCAATGTTTCCTTGAGTGAATTGGTTGCACTTGTATGATTTGTCCACGTGGGTTTGTTTTTACTGAGTCAGGGTTCATAAATTCCCCAAATAAAACTAGTTTAGTGGCTGACTCTGTATCTGCAAAGCAGTCCATGTTTGGCACTTCTTTCAATAAATCAGTTTTCTCAAAACGATTTGCCGGATTTGGACTCTTCGGTTTAGACTAGAACCGTGAAATTTGAGTATCCTGAGCTGTAGTGACCCCAAATGAACAAAACGCGGACTCACCCTCCCGGGGCGTTTCTGGGGGCGACTGTCTACCAGTATTTAAGTGAACTACATAAGCGATCACATGATCTGCAATATATTTCATTTGAATTTCATTGCTTTCATTCATTTTTCTGGTGCTAGGAGCAGTAATGTCTCTCATTTCGCGGTCAAACCAAAGACAAAGATAACTTGCCGCAACGCAGGCCTCAGGCTATTATCTATTCATACATAGTAATTTCTGCTACAAGAAAGAGGTTTGAAACACAGATGCAAACTCTGTGTTTCTATTAGATGCAAAAAAATAGAAGTGAATTGCAAGGTCAGATGGTGATGTGGAAAATATGTGTCTGCCTCAAAAAAGCTATGTGCTAATGAGTTGTAAGATCTGTTACTTATCACTGCAAAAAAACAAACAAACAAACTTGCCTGGATTGCAGCTTCCTGCAGACATGAGGAATATATACATAACATATTGGCAGTTTCTCTCTCTCTCATAGGTGCGCATTTATTTCCGTTTGTGCAATGATTGAAATTGCCTGCAGCAATACTTTCTTTTCCTTGCCTCTTTTAATTTTTAAGGCAACTTTTTGTAGTGTAAACCCTCAAAATATTACCGATACATGTAGTTGAAAAATGAGTCAAAATGAACTAAGCTACTCCAGAGTTATTTTTAGGCTAAATTTGGTTTTATAAACAAGTAAACTTGACATTTTAAAACTTGTTAAGTTTTCAAGCTTTGAAATGATCTACATATTCTATTTAGTGACTTGATATAATGCGTCACAATAAACAAGCTATTAGTTATCTATGTACTACTACTATATTTGTAAATCATATGCGATCAATATATCAATCTAGACTCGAGCCCCAACTCGACATCACATTTTCGAAGCTTTTGAGACTTGTTAAGTTTTCAAATCAACTCTTCGGCATCCTCAATACTACTTCAACTCATTTACAACACTCATTACAATTGCCACTCTCACCCCAAACCAAACCAAACCAAACCAAACCAAGCTAAGTCTCATCAAATGAGGTTAGTTGCATGAATCATATTTCTCCACTCTAATTCAAGGCCCCAATTTCGTTTAGTCAAATTAAGGAGATTCATAAAATCTATTTACTATACTATCTCCACATTAATTTAGGTCCTACCGTTTCTCCTAACACTACCATCTACATACACTGCAATGCATTTTTCACTATTGCTCTCATGATTGATCCAATTCTCTCTTTAGTCTAATCACTAATTCTATATGAGAGGCATACTGCACTAATAATGTTTACTATTCTCATCCAATAAACTAGTTTAAATAACATAATCTATCACTTTCGTAATGAAATGCAGATTTTCTAAAAGACTCTGGCATCTATTATTTCTACCTCTTCTTGTGTCTATCCTTATCCATTATAAATTCACATGTAACCATCAATCTGCTAAATGTAGTGAGAAATAGAAGGCCGCTCATAGTCAAAAAACCACGTTCAATTTGCAAGAGCAAACGGGGCATCCAATTAATACAAATAAACTGCAAAAATTTCTCCAGATTAAAGCAAATATGAAAAGCAACAAAAGGGCAACACACTACAGACCATAACAACACTAGTTCAGGCATACTACCAACTATTTACTACAGACCATAACAACCTACTCCACGATTACTATACCAATACATCCAGATTACCACTTTAATGGAGGTCTTCTAACAGCTGTTGGCACGAGCACGTGCAACGAGCACCAAACACACCAGACAGACAGGAAGATTTAGGAAGCAGAGTAACCACAAATGAAGCCAATGACTGAAGACATCATTCATTTCAGATTCAGATCAGCACTCTGGAGCCTATAATAAATGGGGTCTATACATTCTTCCAGATTTTGATGCGAGTCAGGCTTGTTTCCACCATCAGACCTTCCTGATACCACAAAATATAATGTATCTCCTTACACATCAGAGATATAGATGGTCTTCAGGACCAGAGCCACTTCTTAAGAGCTAACTAAGCTAGGCTTCAAACAGAAAGCCTCATTGCTCGAAGCAAAAAGCAACTGTGATCATCATCATCCTTGAGCCATAAGTCAGCAGCAACCAATACCCTTCTTGTCGGTAAACCTCCTTCGGCAAACCCTTTCTCAACACCATGCGAAGAGTGCCTCAAACAAAGCAGTCATTTTTCCTGACTAGACCACAGAAAAACGATCCAAAAATAGACTGAAAATTCATTTGCAGAAGCCCTTTCTTCAGCTTTGCTTTTGCCTCTTCACTATTTTTTTATGGTTTGAAGTTTCCCATTCTCGAAACTGGCGATTCTCCTATTTTTGTACTTTCGCTTGCTCTATTGGTTCCCTCGCTTAATATACTGGTCTTAGTGGCAAAGCATACCAATCAGCTGTACCGAACTCAGCATTGTTCTTGATGCGGTAGCGCGGGCTGCCTCCAGTGAACGTGTCGGTCTGCCGCTGCACGTCATTAGTCATATATCATCGTCAGTCTCTTTTTTTCCAACACTGACTTAAAGTTGGTGAAGCTTCATCCTCATCGAACACTGGCTTTCTTCTTTTGGAGCTGGCTTTACAGCCATCCTTAACAAGTGGACAGACCCCTTCTCTTCAACACTTTCTTTCAGCTTTTTCTTCTGCCCTCATCAGCAGCCTCACCATTCTTTCAGTCGCTCATTTTTCAGCCCTCCGCATTCCTTCTTGTCTTTGGATCCCTTTTATGGTTCAGGTGGATTCTTTCAAAATGAAGGCTGTGAGTTTGTCCCTCATGTCCACCATCCGGAACAAAAACACCGCTGCCACATCTTCAGTTGGACACCTGCACTTTTGTAATTAAGACCTTTGTTTTCAGATTTTCCACAGACCATAACACTGAACATATTTCTTAAGTAAAATTCTCGAGCAGACCAGCAAGTTAGCAGTGTCGTGTGAACCATTCACAAGTGACACCCAGTCTTTCTCATCAATTTAGATTGGGTCCCAAGCTCCGGCAACCGAAATACTTAGTTGTTGTAAGAATGGCTCGACCAAAGCCCCTCGCAACATCAAACCATATTGTTGACAATATTGTCCTTAATGCATTATTCCTTCTGCCCTCAATCTTGGTTAATCATTTTAGGCATCTATACCTATAGAAGGCGATCAATCGCAATTTGCAGCACCATATGTTTCTGCACATACGCAAAATTGGGCTTTAAGCGCGGTTTTTCTCACCGCTTAAAGGCTGTAAAAACGTCGTTAAA